GAAGGTTTACGACCACCAATATTACCTGAAATGCCTGAAGATTATGCACAAATGATGCAGAGGTGTTGGGATGTGGACCCATCAAAAAGACCAACTAGTAGAGAGCTGACTGTTTTTGCTGATAATAAAAATATCGAAATTGTTAAAAATAATGATGATAATAATAGCAGTGGTAGTTGTGCTTTGCAACAAACACACAAATCACACCCAGACATATCATACAAGTAGAATCTTAGATGAAGAGATTGCTAAATCTAAAAGCTTAAAAATTTATACAAGTAATCATAGTTCATTAAATAATCTTGATTTTGACTCTTTTTTCTAGAATGTTAACAAAGGTAAATAAAATTTTCATTCTTAATTGGAATTATTATCCATTGATTATTACTAACAATATTAATTAATTAATAAACATTAGATTCTAATGATAATTGTCAAAAGAAAGAATCGATTTAATCTCCACTATAAATTTATTATCTTTTTATTTATCTTTTTATTTTATCTTTTTGGTTTCTCAAAGCTAAAATTATTATAATGCTTTGAAATAATAAATTTTTTACATTTTTTGGTTCTTGTTAAATGGTGATGTGAGGTGTCATTTTTGGTTAACAATTATAGATTAACTTTTGGGCCACTCTTGTCAGTTAATTGCAAATAATTCAATTAATTAGTTTGAGTTTATTCTTTCTTGCACCTAGACGAATCTGTGAGTCCAAACCTTTGCTTACTCACTAAAGCAAATAAATGTGGCTTTTACCAAAGCTCCACAATTGTTACCTTTTGCCAAGGCACCAACTACACTTGTTGCTTTTATCAAAGCGCTTTAAACAAAAGAAAATAAGGACAGTTTTATTATTAAAAGTTTATTAGCAATTAATTTTATTTAATAAAAAGAATGATTCTATTGCAGAATCTTAGAATGTTAATTATCTATTATTTTTCTCTGAGAGAATCTGAAGTTATTCTTTTTCAAGCAAAGACCAGAAGTTATCCTTAATGAAATTTTCATTGATCACTACAATCAGGATAAAGATAAAGATGGATTATCATTGTAAAATAACTTAATCAATCAATATTGATATTATAAAACTTTCATAATTTTTTACAAAAAGCTTTTGTGTTTTCATTATACACTAAAATTAGTTGACATAAACTACCGAATCACCAAATTTCTGATTCGTTCCGTTCGATTCGAATCTATATTGATATTATTTAACTTAAACAACGAATTCATGCAACTGTAAATTACTTTGTTATTAATGTTAATATGTAGAGTTTCTGTTCGTAGAAATTCTTATTTGAATTATTCATTTTATTATTACAGACAGATACAGCAACAATCATTTATTAAGAAGGGCAAATATGGCAAAACAACTACACTCAGCGGACAAAAGTTTGCATCCAAAATTTCTTTTGAATTTATTTCAAAACCATACTAATTAAAATATTGTAATCTTTATATCATTAAACTCTTGTTCTTGATAATATGTTTGTGTTATCAAATTTTGAAGTTTTGTATGAAAAAATAAAAAATAAATAACAATGTAAAAATAGTGAAAATGTTGATATTTTTTTGATTTTAACCAATTTTGAAAAATGGGAAAGAACTGTGAACTCGGATTTAATTGACAGTATTCCAGTGTTGTGACCAGAAACTCTTTTGACTTCCCGAAATGTTTCGGAAAATGAACTTACACTAAGCAGAAACCTAAACCTAAACCTAAGCATAAACTACTAACCTAAACTAGTTTCAGGTGGTTTCTGTTAGTTTCTGTTTCGGGTCTTCCCTAAACTCAGAGTTTCGGGTCACAACACTGCAGTATTCCCCCATAGAATTGAAGATTGCATTGCAAACAATGGTTGGACAACTAGATATTAAAGAATGTTTTTTTGAAATATAAAGAATAAGCTTTTTTTATCTATCAATATTTTGTTATTTTTATTTTTTATCTTTTTTCATACAAAACTTCAAAATTTGATATCACGAACATATTATCAAGAACAAGAGCTTTCGAATGATATAAAGGTTACAATATTTTAATTAGTATAATTTTGAAAGAAATTTTGGATGCAAACTTTTGTCCACCAAGTGTATATGTGAAATTAATACAATTTGTTGGCAAAGGAGCTGATATTTAATGCATGAATTGTATGGTTTTGGCGAAGAAGAAAGAATGATTCACGCAGATAATTGTTCATGACAAAATAAAAACAATGTAACAATCCAATATTTGGCATGATGAAAGAATTGATATTACTACATTTAGTCCTGACGTATTTTTGGACCATTTAAAAAATTCTGAGGTTGATGATTTAGAAATAAATGGTTATTACACAAACAATTTTTGAAGCTAATGAAAAGAAAAGTACCTTTTACAGCTGATAATGATAAATTATAAATTAAAATATTAATAATATTAATACAAGTCGCGCCCGTTATAGTGGCACTTCCCGTGCGTCAGTATAAAAATAGAGTAATAGTCATTCATTTTGACGGACAGATATTCGTATAAGAGTCATGTGAGGATTATAACTGATTTGTTTAGCCTCTGTTTACTGAAATTGCGCTTCGACCAACTTTAGCTAATTTATCTAGGGTTAAGCTAGGATCGTTTTCAGCACATGCATAGTTCTTTTTTTTTTGCGAAGCACTTAAAGAAGCTCTTTTAGATGCAAAGGTCGAACTCATTTTTAAAACAAAAAATCGTTAATATTTTTTATTAAAATTAAAATTACAATTTTATAATAGGAAGTAACCTATTGATTATTTAATCAATGCTTTGTTTGACATGATTTTTCAGAGTGATTTTGATTGGTTTTCCTATTATACTGAGATGTCATTATAATAATAACGGGTTGTAACTTTGCATTAATAACATTTTTGCACTTAACTTCTTCTCCCCAAAAAACTTGCAAACTATATATTTTCCGAAAGCTCTCAGTATACTCTATCCACCCCATGCCAAAACGATACCTATAGAACTACTTCCTGAAAAGAATGATGTTTTCAAAATCAAAAGTATAGGGCTCTTGAGAAGTCATTACTTGATAACAAAAAAGGCTGTTGACGCGTATAGTGGTGATAATCATGAATATTCGAATATTCATGATCGACATTTGAATATTCATGCATACTCATGAATATTCATGAATAATATGCACATTCATGAATATTCATGAATATTTCCTAAAATAGTAATGATTTTATGGATAAATAATAAACAAATTCTGATTGGCTAATAATTTATTTATTCAAATAAAATTTATTCACGATTTAAAAATAAAACAAAAAATAAAAAAAATAGTGTATTCATGAATAATACAAACGAATATTTTCCTAAAACAATAAATAAAATAATAATTTAATGTTAATATGAAATATTGATATAATTATTTAATCAAAA